AGGCGGCGAACGAGCACGGGACTCGCAGGCTCGAAGTGTGTATGCATACACATGTATAGGTGTGTGTGTGCATGTGTGTGTTAATGGATGGGATGGGCGTGAATCTGAGGGTAGCCTCTGGATTTGGTCCTGATGCCTACTTGCGTCCGTATGTTTGTGTGTGCATGTAATGGGGTGGCATCTTCTGTAGGTGGTATTGAAGTGTGCATGCATATAGTATGATAGGGGCTCCAAAGCCAGCTTCTGGAGGAAGATTGTGCGTGTGTGCGTGTGTGTTTATATGTACCTACGTTGTGTGCGTTTTCGGATGAGGGAATATATCTTACAAGAGTTTATGATCGTTTGTTTGCTTGTGTGTGTGCCGGCCTGGGTGGACTTGTTCATAGTGTATACTTGTGCATGTCTCTCGGTTGTGCTTGTGCATCTTCGAGTAAGACGATCAATCACGGTGGCTAAGCCAAACTCGAATGCATGGCATACTACTTAATACAAATAGCCGAATTAAGTATCACAAACCATTTTCTGGACATCGCACAATCACGAAATGTATAGAGTAAATAGCATACAGTATATGAGGATGAAAATTGTGTTTTGAGGAGTCTCTTTGTTCATACTTTTGAAGGGTACCTCAATTTCGAGTGAAAGTGTTTGGCGAAAAGATTCGAAGGCCGATACCACCAGAAGCTGACGGAGCATTCTTTTTCGTGTTGATTAGCTTCTCGAGACTACCAGAAAATAGGATGTATGGAATATTATCACCCTATTTCGTTTTAAGTTGACGAAGGAGTGGTAGTTGAATTTTCACACAATCATATGAGTACACGTGACATTTCCATTGAATTTCACATAGCCTTGCTTTCTCAAAAGTTGTCCTCATCCAGGGTGGACTGCAGTTTCTATGTCGACTCAGCGGGACTCGAACTATGGCAGTGTAGCGTATAAATTCGGGTCCATCCGGAGGTGCTCACAAGACCCAGGCGAGGTCAAAACTGCAGTCCAGCTTGGATGAGAACACGCTTCGGGAAAGCAAGGCTATGTGTAATTCTATGGGAATGTCACGTGTACTGATATGATTGTGTGAAAATGCAACTACCAGTCCTTCATCACCTTAAACGAAATAGGGTGACTACATCTCATTAACTCCGTTTCTGAGGCATTTTCATTCCTGCTCCGATGATCTCCATCATACAACAATCGAAATGGTAGCACGTTTTGACCGGAATCGAAGGAGATTGCCTCGGAATCAGCGTCAACAAGAACGTTTCGATAAAGCCAATCTCAAGTCAAGATGAATGCACCTCCATCTTCTTCACCAAATACTTTCCCTCGAAACGGAAGTAAGCTCAACAGTCTGTATGTATGCCATCGTATTGCAGGGAAATTGTCTGAGAGGAATGATTGCTACAACTTCTTTATGCTGGCTTCATTGTGAGAACTTTTTCCTTCCAAGTCCTCTTACCCTCGCCATTGCTGTGTACGCTTGAACTTTGAACTCTGTAGCTGTTCTGATTGTGTAAAGGGAGGTAATATTAAAGGGTGGATATTCCCCACCCCATCCCTATTTGGATATCACCCAACTGAGGCTTGCCCACAAATGGAGTCCCCTTGACGTTATTATGTGACGGTTGAACTGCGCGTCGTCTTTCACTGCCAATATGCTCATCTCTTGCGTCCACACAACCAATCATATACCATGCACCCAGGGACCGGCGCTGTCACCTCTCCTCGCACACATTTGACCGAGTAGACGCATTCACACTCATGCGAGCATGTACACATGCCCTCACTCGACGGTGTATCACTTACCCTTCATACTTCCCAGTTTTACTATTTTCACACTTATTCAACATCTACACACACACGCACACACACACACACTTTCGCGCGAACATATGCCCTCAGACACGACAGTGCGTTGGTTACTCTTTATGTCTCTTTTTTTTCCCATCTAAACTTTATATATATATATATCTCTCTCTCTCTCTCACACACACACACACACACACACACACGTTAACGATACCTCCTACTCTGGCGACCCGGAATGTCCTCCAGAGTACAGTGTTCATGTGACGCCCGGCCACATTGTGGTGCGTCCGTTTGAGACGGTAGAGTTCACCTGTACCGCGTTGCAACAGGGCGAGCGACCTCGAATGGTATTTGCCGTCGATGGGACCGATGTTGAGCAGGATGCACGCTTCCGCATCTCTCGTCCGGACGTGCAGACCGTCAAAGTGACAATTCCACACGGCTTGTCGGCACGTGGCTATGAAAGCATCGGACTACGGTAGGTTGTTGACACACGCACCAGTGGGCTCTTCGTTTAGACACCAAATTCGGGTGGAAGAAATTAGAAAGAGCCAGACTGCCAAGAGGGCTCTTGAATCACAGGGCAGATGTGCATTTCAAGGAAGGCCATAGCAACCTATATCACGTTCTGTGGTAGGATTGCCGATGAATAAAAGTTGTGTTTGCTACAGCAATCAACTAGATTACTTATTTTTCGTTCACAAATAGGCTTTCGAGACTTCCAGTAAATCATATATACATAATGTGTATTCATTCCATTCCGTGATGAAGAAGACGATTGCTACAGCTAAAACAACTTTGCTTCATCGATACTCCCACCAAAGAATGGGAAATGTCTGGTTTTTTCCTTGAAATTCACCTCTGCCCTGTGATCCGAGTGTGCCGGTGGCATAGTGTTTAGCGTGTCCAGAGTATGATCTGCATTTATACGATTCGAGTCCCGCTGCCAGTGTTGATCAGACCGAGGCGAGGTCGAAATGTCAGTCCACTCCAGCCGGAAGCAAAGCTATGTGAAATTCAATATGGTCTACTCATATTATTGTGGGTTAATTCAACTACCAGTTCCCATAGCGTGAATACATTTCATGTATATG